TGGTGCCCGAGGGTCACCCAGAGCACTGTGCCAAGCGGATGCCTGGAATGCTCCAGGATGTGACAGGAGGCTGCTCTGATCCCGGGATGGGCATCGTCCCCAGCAGCCTCCTGTGCACCAGGAGGACAGGAGAGAGGGCAGCACCTTGACGCAGGGCACCCTGGAATGACCCTCTCCGTCTTCCCCGGATCCTGCTGTCTCCATGGTTGGGGTCTCCTGGTGTCTTGGCTCTGTCCTGCTGTTCCACCCATTGCTCCTCGGCTGCTGCTCCAGCCTTGAGGACACCAGGACGGTGCCAACACCCCTGTCCTTAGCAGCCACGTCCCCACATATCCAGTCCCACCAGTTGACCTGACCACAGCTCCACCACCTCTTCTCCTTGTGCTCTTTGCCTTTGGGTTCCCTTTCCTGCAACCTCATCCCTGTCCCTTCCAGCGGTTCCCAGGAACCCACGACACATCCTGGAACCCACGACACGTCCTAGGACCCACGACACGTCCTAGAGCAAAACAGGCTGCAAACGCTGGTGACCTACACACACGGGTGGTGACAGCTACAGCAAGGGGACACAGCTACAGCAAGGGGCTGATTCCACCCGGAATTTCTGCCGGATTTTTTTCCCCAGGTAACCCATGAATCCCTGAGCCAGCCACAAGCCCAAAGTGCAGCGTTTAGGGAGTGTTTGTACCCCAGTTTCATCAGGAAAATGCCGTGCAATTGTGTCAGTTCAGCTGCAAAACTAGCACTACCTTAAAGGAGAGGGAAGTGCCACCAAAAATGGTCTCTTTGCTCATTTTAAGGTATTTAGCCTTTCATTGAACATCTTCCTGGCTCTTCTGCATGTACCAGAGCCAGGAACCAAAGCAAAAAAGCTGTGATTGATTGACTGAGTAATGCCATGAATTCAGGAGCTGGACCTTCACAGGCCCCATCCAGGAGAGTTCAATTGGTTGTGGTTTCCAACCCCTGCAAAAGCAGGGCCAAACACCATGGAAAATGCAACCTCTTGGCACGTGTCCAGCCTCCCTGGGGAAGCGAAGCCTGAGGAAGACTCCGGTGGAGCCTTCTCCCGCGGGTCTGGGTGACAGGTAGGTGACAGGCGCCCTGCTTCTCTTCCACTGTCTCATCCAAGGGGTTAGTCAACACATGCCCTCGTTTGAGACTTTTAAGGCCCAGTGTGGTGGCCAAAAGTGAGTTACAGCCTGGCCAGGTGGTTTCCCTAAAGCCAAACCTGCGTCTTGGGGGGGTCATCAGGCACCCCCAAAGTGAGTTAGCACATTCCTCTTTAGCAGATGTCCCATTCCTTGTTGGTCACGATCCCCATTTCCCTCAGGACATCACGTTTCTCGTCACCCTCATCTCCTCCCCGAATTCCCCTTTCCGAGGAGAAGGTTCCTTGTTGGACAAGATTCCCCCTTCCTCTCATTTCTCGTCACCCTCGTCTCTTCCCCGAATTCCCCTTTCCGAGGAGAAGCCCCATGCGGAGGCCGGAGGGATCCACGGGCTGGGATCCATGGCTGGAGGTTGTGCCATGGCCGGGAAGCTCTTTGGGTGCTGGAGCCCTCATCCTGCCTCTCCCTCTTTCCGGGCTGGGATGGAGGGATCCTGCCAAATGACCTTGGACCTGCCCAGTTTTAGTGTCTGGATCCAAGGCACAATTGTACCTAAAACTGGAGCGGCCACTCAAGATCTTTGGCTGGAGGGGATTATTGACCCCGTTCAGACACATCATGCAGCCGTTCCAGTTGCCTCGTCTATGAATCCAAGACAACTCCACTCTTGCTGGTTATATGTGGACCAAAAACCACCACTGAGACCTCCAGAATGAGCCCCAAGGACACAGACTTCACCCTCGCCTTCCCCTGGGATGAGTGTGTTTGTTGGGATGGGAAAAAAAGGCCATGGAAAGATGCGGCAGTGAGTTAAGCCGCTGTGGTCATGAAGGAAACAGTCCCGAGCCTAATGCCATGCCAGGGCGACCATCCCAAGGGAATGGGGTTTAAAGGGAGCCTCTTCCCCTGCTGGGCTTCCCCTATGATCCCCATTGGATTCATCCTCCCACAAAGCCCCCCTGTCCACCGCACTGGAGAGGGGCTGGATGTCCATCCACCAAAGCGCTGATCCATCCCCCCCGGAGCTCAGGAAGCAGGATGCCTTTTTTAAAATTATTATTTTTCTGCAGATCTTTTCTCCTCTTTCCTCTGCTGTTACCATTTGGGCCCTGGTTTGGTTTGCAGAGCAGTAATTGCATCCCTAGCACCCATTCTCCTCTCCTTTCTCTTCCCATTGCCATATCCTTTCCCTATTTCTAAAACTGTGGCGTTTGCATGATGTCCATCACATCCTTGCCAGTGGTGGGTGGGCAGCAAGACCATTCATCCTGTGGCAGGGCCATTCATCCCGTCCAGCCCAGCTGCCCGGTGGGAAGATGCTCCCCATGGATCTAATCATGGCCCCAGTAATTCTCCAGGAGGTCTCATTGCACTGAGGTTCCCCCATCCCAAGGACGAGGCAGATGGAGACAGCCCGAGTGCAACCCCGGAGCTGCCTTCGGCACCGTGAAGATCCCATGGACCAGCCCAGACCATCTCCAGGTTCATCCCTCTGCGCCCCCCTCTCCTCCCATCTTCAGTGTTTTTAGCAGTAACAACCATAAATTGATTGTGTGCATTAAAAAAAAGGCAAGATCTTGGTTCAAATTATCACTCTTTCTTTAGGGATGACATTTCTCCCATTTTAAGATAATTTAATATAGTGACGTAAAAACAGAATCTCAAAAAAGTATTGCTTTTGAAATAGTTCTTAAAAGATATTCTATCTTGTTTATCTAAGGGTTGGAAGCCTGAACCTCCACTTATCAAAGAGGTATTCTCCTTTATTTTTCAAACGTATTTTATTTTTGAAAGAAAATTTATATTTCTAAAAGCGGATTTCATTTTCCATTTGTAAAATAGTTCCTCAAGTGTGGTTAATAATGCCATCCACAGGCATATTTTTAAGGGAAGTTTTATTTTTTTAAGAGCGTTTAGATCTTTTTAAAGATTGCTGTCAGCTCCCTTGAGCAGGATATCCACTCATGTTGTACATAAGAATTAAGGATTTTATAGAAGGAAAATGTAGTTTGATTCTTACTGTAGCTTGTCATTGGATTCTCTGGTGTGTAATAAAGCGTGAACACTAATTGAAACTCCTCTTGCTGTTGAGTCACTCGTGGCATCTACCTCCTCCATGGGTTATTCTGGCTTGAGCTCAACTGCAGCCTTCATTTGTTGGTTATTTTTTTCCCCTCTTGCTATAATGAGTCAATATGTTGAATTTTCTTTC